TGGAGAAACTGCCATACAGGAACAAAAGTTTAACAAGTCTTGACAGGCTTTTGAGATGTGATGCCTGTTGGCTGTAGCTTGATGACGGCTCTGCTGATGATACTTGGAGGTCCATGAGTACTCATCACTTGCTCATACTTGGGGGTCAGGGGGACTCAGTAAGTATACTCATAATCCCTAGAATCCACATAGTAATTCTAGTTATCTCCAGCAGTAACCTACTTGCTGAGTCTCCGTCCCTGACCCTCCAATTAACTCTCATCATGAATCACTTCTAAGCCCCCTTGGTTTAGGGTTTAGTGTAAAGTTACCCAGCCCTAAACCCTCAACAATAGGCCTGGCTGTGAAACCAGATTTCGCCATCCCAAGTTCATGATTCCCGTATCTGCAAAAAAAACGAGGACTAGCCTTTATAGAGGCCACGCGATGTAGAATTTAGGGTTTAGGGAAATAATCGAAGAAATCTCGGCCGAGGAACTCGGGAACGCACTCAACCAACTATTCAAGCTTCTACTAGGATGTTTCCACCACATCTTCTAGGCAATCCGAATTTGGGACCCATAATCCCCTCATAGTGCACACATGAGCCATACTCTAAACTTCTAGTATCCCCCTTAAAGACCCCTATAGTAGTCCCCTATATACTCCCTTTTGTAACCCCTTCAGCAGTTCAGATGATGGCTCACATGTCGCTAGGGTCCCTCTGGTTGCCCAGATTTCGCGGAATGCCCACAAAGCCCACAGAGCCGGCCTGTCAGGCGTTTCTCATTGCCTCGGCTGCTTCGCGGAATTGCGGTGGGGCAGTGCTGCCCGCGGGCGAGCGTCACAAAATCATAAGAACTGCATGAAGTGATTCTGCGATGGGGGAGCGTGAAAAAACATGGCAATTTTGAAGTTTCCAAATTCGGGGGCCCAAACGACATGTTTTCGAGATTGTGGTACATGTGTGCAAGAGATAGTAAACAACAATCTTGCTGGCTCCAGAGATTCCTAATCCTTGCACCATCGGCGAACGTGAATGGACAGGTGCCATACCACATCTCGGGTTAGCTTCTATGAAGCGGCTAGACGTAATCGTAGGCCCGTCCCAACAAGGGCTCTTCAGGAATCCGTACATTGGACGCAAGACAACTGGGACAGTCACAATCCCTGGCCCTAGCTGGGGTCAACCTAGTAGACATGGGTAGACCTACTGCTGTTACCTTAAGTAATAGTTTCTATTTTGTTTTCCATTATCCCAATATCACCCTAAATCGTAGTTTGCATTCTAGTTTCCGTTATCCCAATATATAGCGTAGCCTTGCGAGGCGAGTTCTGCGGTTCTGCGGGGTATCGCTCATGCGAACCTGCGCGTGGTGAAGAGAGCATGCTTGTCAAAACGGTTTTCAATGGACACCTGGCAAAACATGTGCACTCAAAGACTTCCTTGGGCAGCTTTTGGGAATTTCGAGGGTGCGCAGGGAATTCTTCGGAATTTGGAATCTTGTCCACTTATCGCAGACACAGCTGCCTTCGCCATACTCAGCTATGTGCTCCTTGGCCACCTTTCCAAAAGCCTGGACGCGGAGGGCTGATGATCGGGTTATCACTTCTGGACAAAAGGGGCGCGTCCTCAAGGCGCGGGGAACTTGTCTATGGGTTCCTAGAGCAGGGGAGCCTAACATATTCAGGTATGGAGCGGGGACTCCCACTATAGCCATGCAAGCAAGAAATAGGACCACGTACAAAATCAAGCAGGTCTCAGAGTTCCGGATGCAATGCAAAGCCTTGATGTCTAAAGCATCGCCAATAGTCAATAGCAAACCTCAAAACCCCTCGTGAAATATTCGCTCAGTTTGCAAAGGCTGCGACGCTTTGTGGCGTGCTGTCTAAGAGCTCACGACCATAAGTGGGTTGGGGGGTGGGTGCCTAATCCAACATATTACAGCTACCACAAATATGAGGAGTGAACACTAGCAATTCTTCAGGCACTCTACACTCCTAGACCTTCCTCCTACCCTCTATTAGGGCCTAAATACCCCTATTAGGGACCATATATCCCCAATTAAGGGTACAAGGAAGGCCCTGGCTAGCACTCCGAGTTGATTGGCTGCTACGCTACGGATTCTTTGCGTCTTGCCTTAGCCAGCTTTGGGTCCAAGACTTTGCACAAGTCCAGGGGCCTTGAGAGGCTATACACGGCCTATAGTCCCCCCTCAGTAGATTGAATATGGCTTTAGGTATATCAAAATAAGATCCCCATATACCCCATATTCTAAGCTTAAGGGGGACTATATTTCAACATGATATGAAAGAGTTACGTAGCCTGATTAGGGTTACCGTGTAGAGGTCCCTCCTACAAAGTTCTTACTACATGCGTAAGCTTTCGTAGGCCCCTGGACTGACCAAATTACCTGGGCATTTCCGAAAAGTGGATTGATATATATATATATATCCATACACTTACACCGAATGGAAAACCATAACACTTATTATAGGGACCCGGGATTTTGAACACGCTCAATCCCCTTTCCAAGCTTCGTTCCATTTCATTTCAGGTCGGTTCTGCACTGTCTATATCCATGTCTATATTTCATATACATATATATATAATATACATCCCCCGCTGCCAGGTCATGATGCACGCTCGAAGCCTCGCAAACCTTCACGATGACTTCATATCCGCCTTCCTGGCAGCATGGTTTGCTGTTGGCGAGCTACTAACCAATGCGGTAGGGGTTATGGCGACGTTTGTGGGGGAGTGAGGAGGGACTACTGTAGAGATCTATACCTTAAATCATCCGTGAGACGTCTCAGGAACAGCCAGTGATGACCTTCGACAGACATGGATCTTGAAGCAACATCTTGGGGTCAAGCCTCGCGCATAGGCGTCACAGAGAAATTTGTGTGGCAGCCGGCGCCGTTCCAGTCCTGATGCTCCAACTAATCTTCTAGACCCTAAACCCCAAACCCCAGACCGTAAACCTCCAACCCTAGACCTTGAACCCTAAAGCCTAACTCTAAACCCTAAACCCCAAACCCTAAACCTTCAACCCCTAACCCTACATCCTAGACAAGCTGTAAGGACCTCATTGCGCAGCACATGCACATTTGTGTGATGCTTGTTGTGTAGGAATCTCGACGGGTAGGCGTTTGGGTGGTTGTCAAACTTATAGTCC